GGAGGGGCTCTGCGCGGAGCCTGGGTGTTCTGCGCTGGAGGCAGCTCCCGCTGACAAGCCCCAAGTGAGGAAATCAACTCTTTAAAGGTAAGCGGCAACAAAACCGGGGCAGCTTCGGGAGCGCAGCAGCGGCATCTCCGACGGCCCTGCCCGGGATGGGCGCCCCAGCGCCCGGCGTGTCCGTGCGGGAGCTGATCCCGCGGGGAAGGGTTCGCTCCGCAGCCCCGGCTGCGCTTCACCCCGCGCTTGCTGAGCAGGCAGAAAACCCAATCCCGGGGCCGCCTTTAGTTCTCCCGCTTCTCCTTCCCGTGCGTTTCTGGCGCCCGCGTCCCCGCAGCCGTTCGTGCCCGGCGGCAGGACAGGAGCCAGCCGCCCGCGGCCGGGGAGGGACGGGGACAGCTCGCCGCTCTCTGGAAATCCCAAATGGAGCAGCGGGTGCGGGAGGGCTGCCTCAGGAGCCGAGCACCGCAGCCGGGCCACAAAAGGCTGAGGGAGCCAAAGGCAGGGGCGAGATCTCCCTCCTGGCTGGCCCTGAAAGCGAACACCAGGCACCCGGAGGAGCGGGGAGGAGGGCACCGATAAGCGAAGCGCTGCTGGAGGTATCCGGTGTTTCCTGCTGGGATTTGGCGGCCCGGAGGACGCTGCGTTCCGTGCGGCAGCAGCGAGCGGGTCCCGCTGCGGGCCGGCCTGGCCGCTCCCCGGGAAGCCGCTCGGAGCATCCCTCGGCTCAGGAGCGGCCGGCACGGGCTCCTCTCTGCTCAGGAGCACAAAAGCCTCGAGCAGGAGCGGGCCTCGCACTCGGCGGCGTTCCTCTTGTCCTGCCGGGAGCAGCGGGGTCGGACGCGCTGTCCCTCCCCTGTCCCTCCTGCTGCAGCCCTCCCGGGGTCCTGTCTTCCCCTGACCGCCCTCTTTCGTGGAGGGAAAGAACCAGCCGGATTTTATTTTAATTGTTTATTGTATAATATAAAACTACAAAAGTAAGACTGCTCATTTCCATGTACATTTGTCCAATTG